AAAAAAAAAAAACAACGCACAGAGTTTCTACATATTATTCACAGAAGTTATATCATATTCGTTAAATAAAAAGATAATTAAAAATATTAATAGGTTTTTTAATTTATTTATTTAATACAAAGATATTAATCTTGACTTGCATCAACATTTTCTGTTTGGAGGCCTTTAAATGAGGCTACAGGAATATATGTTACAAGTGTGTACAATTTGTTAGCGGAATCTTCATCATCATTTCTTCTTCTGCTTAATCGAACACGAACTCTGAAAGGAACGTTCCTGCAAACAGAAAAATATTTTTTGTAATTGTTTATCGAATAAAATATTATCCAATTTATATTTTAAACAGGAAGTATTATTTTGGCAACGATTTTAAAAAGACAAATATTTAGTTGTATGAAGAGGAAAATTTACCTAATTCCTTTAGACCATAACTGTTTATTGAGACGAGTATCAATCCTTACGTCAGGTGTACCCATTTGTTTTTCAGCGAACTTTCTGATCTCTTTGATTGCTCTTGGTGCACGTTTTTTAAATCCAACTCCATGAAGTCGTTTATGAAGATGGACTGTATATTCACGAGTCACTACTTCATTAATAGCACTTTTTCCTTTCTTTTCAGAAGATTTGGCCATTTTTAACCTCAAAAGATCAATGAATATATTATTTTTTATATTTACTCATAATAGAAAGATTGATTTAGTAAAAACATTAATTTAAAAAATAACATGTATTTTCTCTCGTTAACCTAACAAATAATTATATTATAAATAAAATTAAATAATTAAAAGATAAAACCGTTTACAATATTGTCAATACACACAATGCATTCTCAACAATAAAAATATAAATATATTTTATCACAAAAAATTAAAAGAAAACCAAAAAAAATATTACATAAAATCTAATCAAAATTTAAACATGAATATAATTTCATCAAACATAAAAAATGATTACCTATTTAAAATCAGATGTTCTTAGATTTTATTAAACAGAAAGTTTAGGTTCTTTCTCCGATCGAAGGTCCATACGAAAGAACTAGTATGTGTTCGTAAAATTATTACCGGATGTTCGAAAAATCATTTGTGACGTTAGTAAATAACTATTTATTAAACAAAATAAATATTTATAATTATTGTTATTACACAATATTCAAATTAAAATGATTTTTTATCATATTATTAAAACAGAAAAATTAATAAATATTATTGCAATGATTGAAATTGAAAAATGTGATGCTCATAAGCGCTCACCAAGAGCTCTGTGATATGATTGGTTAACAAATGTAATACGCATTTGATTGGCTATCACAGAAAAATTATTTGTGACTTCAAATTTTACTTAAAAATTAATTTTATGGAAAAAACAAAAACATTGAATTATTGATGAAAAATAATATCTTCATAGGCATCTGTTGATTATATTTTTATAAAATTAAATTACATATTTTAACATACATTGATATGCATATATAGAACATATTGTTTATCTATTTTTCTACAGGGGAACTAATGGAAAAAGAAATTTTAAAATTAAAAAAAATTTATATACAATTCTATTTTAGTTGAGTAGTTTATATTTATATGCATATATATTATATATGTAATTTCTTTATATATTTGCTGTTTACTGTACATTAATTTTGTTATGACTTAAAAAAATTTATTATATTAGAGGGCGCATAATATAATTTTTATGTAGTCGTGTTCAATATGGCGAACATGTTGAACGTAGTGGTTATCGCAGGTAATTTTAAGTTACATTAGACGTAAATAGTTATAGTTATTTTATACTTTAGAAATATGAAATGTGTGCAGGTATAAAAATTCATTAAAGTGCATTTATATAAATTTTTAACAATTGTAATGGTTCGTTGGTACAAGAATATGTGTGAACTATGTAAAGTTTCAGTTTCAAGGTCTGTGTAGGGAGTTGAATTAGACAGTTGCGTCGTACGTAAACAAGTCGCTTATACATTTTTATTTTTCAAATTGTAATAATTTTCAATAAAATAGCAATATGGTTAAATTCCATTAATAAACGTTGAAGTTTAAAACATTTTATGTCATTAATTTATTATATATAGCAATAAATACATAGTTTAATTTTTTTATTCTATAAAGTCAACTGCAATATTAAATGAAAAAATAAATAAGTAGATCACTTTTTTTTGTACAAGTTATTAAAAATGATAGAAGTTTTAAATGCATTTAATTAAATAAAATGGAAAATAGAATAGTAAAGTATATTGTAAAATAAATTTAGTTTAAAAACGATAACATATGTACATGTATATTATGCATACATTCATATGCATATACAAATAAGTATTATACTTACTTATATGAATACATAAGTGGAGGCTAAGGAAATATAACTAGGAATAAGAAGTATTCTATAAAAAGGAGCTATATACACATACACACACACAATAATCTAAAAATTATTTAATGGATATATGGAATATTTGAATTCATTATTATTTTTATAATCAAAAGTAATCAGTGGGGTATTACTACTACTATATTATTATTATTATTATTATTGTAAAAAAAAGAAGTAATTCTTTTTTATTAATTATATATAAATTTAATTTATATTTACAGATGTTATGCAGGAAATTGCAAACGATTACTTATATAAATAGAATGAAAATCTTATAACATATCAGCAAAAAGAAAATGTACAATGAACTACGGTGGAAATATTTCGGATTGGCATCAATACAACTCGGTGCAGACAAATTTAAGTGAAACAACATCAACCGATCATAATGTGAATGCAAATCGTTTAGCATTTATGTCTAGTGGTAGTCCATCTTCATTAAATGCTCTTAATACTGATGGCTATAAAAAATACCAAAATGAAGCCAACTTCAGTACAAGACATTTTCCACCTATGAACAATGCTTCAAATAGCTCAAATAATACTGATAACTTTGCAATGCCATCAGTGGTACAAATGCAAGGATATATTGGACAATATGGTCCTGTGGTTAATAGAAACTCTGTTATGGATAATGTAAAAGCTCCGGTTGATATGAGAAATGGATCGATGAATACATTTAATGATGATTACAGATACAGAAATAGTCATATGGCGCTTCCTGGACAAAATTCTCATTTAAATGGATCCAATATGAATATAAATGCACCTGTCACTTCTATAGGGTCACGAACTAATAATATGTGTGCAACATCTTCTGTAAGACAAGGACCTTCATCTTTCATTCCTTGTAAAGCTCTGTGTTGCAATCCAAATACAAATATAGGTTATCAACAATGGGATAAATTTGGAACTTATCAATCTAATACACCATATAGGGAAAATATGCGTTTACCTGGATATCAAGCAGATAATAGACAATACGGTGATCATAATTTTCGAAAAGATAACTTTGAAAATAAGGAAATGTTAAGCTCTATTATTCCTAATACGGATCATAGAAGAAACTTTCCAGAATATAAATATAATAAGGATTCTACGATGTCTAGAGGTTGTTCAGGTCCATCAGGAATGATACAAAATTATCCAATTTCAAATTACAATTATCCAGCAGAGTGTCAGAAATATTCTTATCCTATGAAAGAGTATTCAAAGACAAATAATATGGGTTTACAAGATGCAACTGTTTTTAAACATCCAGAACAAAATTATGTTACACAACAAAAATACAATGCTAAACAAGGTCAATATGCGACAGGTAATGTTTTACCTAAACCTGTGCCCACTTTAAATGACAGTGTAGATATTACACCTTCTACCCAGAATTCTTATTACGCTGCACAATTTATAAGAAACGTACCAACAGAATTTCCACGTACTTGTCAAAAAGCTTTTGATAATTCACAACAAGTTGCTGCAATGCAATCTACACCTGTGCATAGTACTTCATCGCGATACCACTCTTATCAGCAAAAAATTGCGATGCAAAGATTTTCTATGGAAAATCATTTGAGAGAATTTACAAGGATACCTGGATATCAATCACATCCAAAATACAAAGAATCTGTTCTTAGATATAGAGAAATATTAAAATTACAACAGTCACATGGATATCCAGCAGCAGTTCAACATCCTGTAAGAATTGCATCAACGCCCGTTGATACTATTCCATCTATAAATTTGCAATTTGATCAGAATGGAGTTTTAATAAACCCTACTTATTTATCTGATAATTTTCCAAAAACTCAACAACATACATTGAATGCAGATTCAAAACATTTAGAAAAACATGGAAAAGAACAAGATTTATGTCCATCTGATTTATCTAATGAAAATAATCTACACCCTAAACAATCAATTAATCATTCTCCAAAAGAACATTCATCATCTTTGTATCAAAATGATTTTCAAAATCAAGACCAGCTTTTAATACAAAAATGTAGCGAACAAACTGAGTTTAAAATACAAGAAAGTACAGGAGATGGCATAAACTCAAGTAATGCTGATACTATAACTGAACAAGAGAAAACATCAAAAGATTTTGCTGATAAGCCAAACCTTGATGTTCGACAATTTTTAGCAAATTGGGATGCATCAGAAGATGAAGACGATTCAAATACAAATTTGCCACATGTTGTCTTAAGCGATTCAACATCATTGGTAGTTGTAGAATATGAAAGCATTGACAACGCTTCGAAAATACCTCATAATGTGAATGTAAATAAAGAAAATGTCACTTGTTCGAAAAAACATGATAAAGTGACACAAGAGTATTCACAATCTTTAGATTCTCCTTCTCAGAGTACTGAGACATTACAAAATTTAACTGAATATAGAAATAAAGATATTACAAAATCTGGAAATATAATACATTGTATAACCAACAGTACTGATGACATTCCAACGATACATATAGTTGATAATGTACAAATAAATAATATTTTGGAGGTATCTAATGATCAAATTATAGAAACCTTAGAACATCAAAGTTCAATACCATTTTATCAGGAAAATGTAAATTTAGAAGAAGAAATAAGAAAATGTGATGATAATAAGAAAGACAATTCTACAAATATAGAAGCTTTGAATAAAGATACATATACCACCGATGATACTTTGTCTGAGAAAGATAGAAAGTCTTCAATTCAGAATACCAATCAAGAGTTAAATGCTTTGGAAACAGTATCAAAAAATAATTTAAATAGACAAACTACAAACTTGCAAAAGCAAAATAGTTTCACAAGTGAAGAATCACATAACACAGATGATATCAGTCTACCTGATTTGCCTACAACTGAGTGTACTCCAATATCCACTACTCTAAACACACCTATTCATTCAGACAGTGAAGAACCATCAGGACGTGAGTCTTCTATATCTTCCAATCCTATAGAGATTATACAAAATAGTCCAATAATTAGCTTTACTCATTCTCCCATTAAAATTGGATCCTATGAACATTTAAATGATACTGTTATTTCTAAAGAAAATACTTTACTTCAATTTAATTTAGAAGAAGCAAATCAATCTAATAACAATAGTATTAATGCATTTGAAAATTCTATAGCTTCGAACAATTTTAACAAAACTGGTAATTCATCCAAAAGTGAAGTTATTGAAGCATGTAGAAGCAATAAATTGCAAACCAGTTCTAATAAAAATTCAATTATAATGAATACAACAAAAATAGATAAACAATTTAATGAAAAATCTTCTGATGTATGTGAATCTTCAACAAATGAGTATGAATCAGAAAGTGTACCAATTGACATGCACAAAAATTCTATGCAAAACTCCAAGAATACAAAAGTCGAAAAAATCAATAGTAATAAATTTCAGAGCATTGAAGATCCTTCGGAACCTATAAATTATAAAATATCAACAACAGTGACTGAAACATCTCAATCTACATTAAAAAACAAATCAAGTGAAAATAAAGAGCAGTATATGATAAATACTGTTCAAAATAATAATAGAAGTCCTGAAATGAATGTTGAAACAAGGAAACAATCAAAATGCTTGTTTGCGACTAAATTAAAACAGGACATTCCTAATGATAAAAGTCCAATATCATTGATTTCAGGGGAGAATGTAGAAGAAGGACACACACTAGTACGATACATGGAAAAAAATACTTCATCAAATATTAAAAATATTCTGTCCATTCCAAATATAAACATATATACATCTAGAGCTGACAAATTACAAAATATAAATACTGTATCAATACAGAAAAAATGTCTAGATACGTTAACCAATAATAAATTACATTCTAAAAGTCCTCAAAATGTTTGCGCAAGTAAAGAAAAAGATAAAGAAGGTTTTTCCAAAGATCTTCAAAACGAGTTTAAACATCAAAAACTTGCAAAAGATTCTGACGTACATTCATCTTCTATGGATAATGCTAGCTTAACAAACTTAGAAATGTTACCTGGCCATGTAACACATAAAAAAAGTTCTATCTTAGATACTAAAAACAATACTAAACTGGAAAGTGATACAATAAATAAAAAAGAAGATAATGAACATATTTTTGCAAAACAAGAAAAATCTATATCTATTTCTAAAAAGGTACATGATCAGTTACAGAAGAGTGACGAAATCTGCAAAATAAATGCAAACGCTGATTTTACAAATGTTTCTCAGGGAGATCATAACCAAAGTAAAATATCAGAGAAAAAGAAATCCCCAAAGAATTTTAATGTTGATAAAGTTAACATTATCAATAATACACAAAAACACGATTTTAATGAATACATGGAAGAAAACAATGACATGATATATCTTGATAAATGCATTGATAACAATAAACATATAGGAAATACTTATTTTAATAAAAGATCTACATCACGATACACAGGCACTCAATTTCAACAGTGTGATTCTGCGATAGAAGATACCCAAGCATTAGAGAAGAATACAAATTTAAAGAATAAAGTAGATTCAAGTCAACCATCATCTTCTACGACCACTATTTGTTCTATTACTTCCGAAAAATCAGAACAAGAACAACTATATACTGTTTCTAAAAGTTTCACAACAAAAAATGTAAATTCTGATTTTGAAATTAAAGTTACAAATGTTAATTTAAAATTTACGGATAATGATATATGCAAAGAATTAGTCACTTTGAGAGATAAAAAAAAAGAAAATTTAAATAGTTGCTCTGAAGGAATTAAAATTGAAATAAATGTATTGTGTGCAGAGCGTAATGCCAAAGAAAAGTTATTCCAACAAGAGTCTATAAATGTGGATAGTGAAATGATTGATCAATCAAATAATTCTGTGTACGGTAGCAAGAGTACTTGTTTATCAAATATAAAAGAATATGACATATATGGAAAATTAGATACAGAAAAAGGAAGTTGTAAAATTGATGGAATTATAAATCACAATCGATGTCAGAGTACAGATATTTGTTATGAAAGTGTGAAAAATATAATGAAGGAACAAGAAGAACCTCTTAGTTTAATAGTTCGAAATAAAACAGTACCAACAAATAAAGAAGATACACTACCTCAAGAATATTCAAAAAGAAAAGAAACATTATCAACGGATATATTGAGTAAATCAGAGAATTCCATGGGAGATAATAACTATACAGAAATTGATCAAGAAATTACATCCGTTAATACTTCCAATGAAAGAAAGAAACAACATACACCATTGAATTTAGTCGACAAACCTAATGATGCAAAAGATGAAAGTCTATGCTATCCTAAAATGAATGATTTACTTAATAACATTGACCAAGAAAATGAACCTTCTAATGTAATCTACAGTTGTGCTACATCTAACGTAAATTGTATGCAAAATAATGCTAATACAGAACGGATATTAAAAATGAATAATACGCAAAAAAATAAAATGAAAGATCCATCATCTGTTTCATATAAATATAAAAATAAAAAAGATGAAGAAGACGATAGTTCGTCCGATAAGAATGATGATATGCCAAATATCGTAACAATACATGTTAAAACTGATAACATGAACAACGAAAAATTTGCAGAACTTGATTTTACAAATTTCGACTTATTTTCTAATGAAAGTAACAAAAGTAATGATAATGAGCCAGGAAAATGGAGACGTTCTATAACTCCTATAGTAAATCAGACATTAGAAGAATGTGATTTATATGGAAGTACTAGTGGTTATGTAAATCCTATTTTTACTAATATAGAAGAATCAAATAACAGAAATGAAATTCCTGTATATAGAACTAAAGATGGAAAAATAACTTATAGTCCTAATCCCAAAACTTTATTCCTGGAAAATAAAGAAAGAGCTTATTGTACTGTAGAAGAATATTCACCACATAAATATAACAATCATTTAAAAATGAATACTTCTGTTAAAAAGGAAAAAGATATAAATAATTATAAAGAAAGGAAACCATTGGAATCTAATGATACAAAAATCACTTGGAGTGAATCAACTGATAAAAGTTTTTCTGAATATTCTAATAAGAATGAGAATAGTAAACAAAATATTCACTCTATGAAACATCAAGCACTAGATTTAAAACATTATTACCCTAAAATAGAAAAACAATATAATAGTACAACTGATAGTCAAGTAAATAAAGAGTACAATAAAGATCTTTCTGACTTTAAATGTGAGGAACAAAAACAACATGGTAATGAGGATAATTGTAGTACTCATAAAGATAATTTTAAAAATAAGTCTACAAAAGAATTTGAAAGTCATAAAAAAAAGTTAAAAGATACCTTTGATAGTAATATTCATTCGGAAGAAAAGAATATGAGAAAAGCAGAGATGTTAGGAGTAACTGAAGCATATACCATGTATCACAATACAAGAAATAATAACTCTGTTAAAAAAAATAGTCATAATGATACATTTTCTTTGCATAAATCTACTGATAGCTTTGTAGAAAAACCCAGTTCAACAGAAAGCTGTGATATTAAATTGAAATACTGCGATACAATTAAGGAGTCAATTGTGCCTTATGCAATATGTGATCAATCAGTTACTGAATGTTCTTTAAACCAAAGTAATGAATTAACAAGTGAGAAATCAAATTCTATTATAAAATTAAAGAAGAAAAAGTTTAAGCCTAATATAAATCAACTTAAATCCTCGGAATTGTGTTTAGAAGAAGATCGTTTTAAAGGCAAAAGACATTACACTAATAATCTTATGAAACATAATTCATTTTCTGAAGATCTAGAATATTTTAATGAAAAGAAGATTGATCCAAATATTATTCATTTAGAATCAGAAAATATCTGCGCAAACGTTACAAAAAAATCAGAATCACCAATTACTTCTGAGATATCCAAATATAAGAGACATTATGAGCATTTCCATGTGAAATGTGAAATAGGCTCTGATGAAAGTAATACAAATTTTGAAGCAGAATTTGATAATACAAGGAATATTTTGAGATATGCAAAAGAGAATATTTTAATTTCTAAAAAAGATGTTCTTCTCACAACAACATTAGATGTAGAATGTTCGGATTCCTTGAAACGATTAAATAGTACTAAACAAAAAGAAAAGATAGAATATCAGGATGAAAGCAATGGTGAAATAGAAAATACGAATTTTTCATTACAGAACGAAGTATCTAAAAGTAATGAGGATGAAAATTTAAATCAACAAATTACAGAAGCTAATATTTTCTACACTGACAATAATATTATTTCTGAAAAGGGATGGAGACGATTACCTTCAAATTGTTTAAAAAATGATGAAATAGAAATTATGGCAAGTGATATAATTAGTCCTAGTAATTTCGATAGTGAAGTGCATATAATTCATGGAGAATCTATGCATTTATCACAGATGAAAAAATCGAAAATGCCTAAAATTATTTTGGAAACTGATGAGTCTTCTTTTAACGAAATAAGTAACAGTGATTGTCAGAATCATAATTTCATAACAACAGACCATAAATATGATATTCCTTTTTCTGGAGAAGAAGAAATAAAATCTGAACCAATGTATATGGGCCAAAACAAAGATGAAATTATTTTATTAGAGTCTGTTATTTGTAATAAAAACATTGATGCCATTGAAAAAATAAATAAAGATAAAAGTACAAAGAAGAAAAATATTGAGAACTCTATCTTTTCGTTAAATTCCACTGATAATTCAGAAACCAAAAATATAATAAAAGATGAAGATTTTCCACTAAATAATGTCAATGAAATAGACATTGTTGAAGGATCATCATTAAAACAAGAAAATATTAATACTTCGAAGTATCAAAATTACAATATATCAGATATAACAAATAAATCACAAGAGAGTCTAGAAACAATTAATTCAATAGAAAAAGAATTAAAAAGAAAACAATTAAACGACAATTTATATTGTATTGAAAATAAAAGTAATAGTAATTCATATTTGTCTTCAAAACAGTCAAGAAATTGTGATATTGAAGCTTGTAATATCCCAGAATTGGAGAATATATCAAAATTAAATTTAGAAAAAAATACAAATGTAATTAATGAAATTCCAACAAACGATATAAACAATAAAGTAGAAGAAGAGCGTTCTTTATCCCCTCCAGATATTACTACTACTGCATATATTAATGCAAACTATTCTTCTACATCAGATTGCAATGCAAATATACAAATGATTTCTAGAACTATCATTGAAGAAAATGAAACAAACACAAATTCAAAGCCTGAACTGTCTTCTCAACCTAAAATACCTAAAATGATAATCCGAAATACTGGATCCTGTTCTACAACATCTGTTGCAAAAGAAATATTAGAAACATCATCAGAGTATCCTTCTTTTGCACATAGTAAAGTTAAACATTCTACTTTTATTATTGAAAATGAAAAAGATAAAGAAAGAAGTGACAGTGATTCTGAAAGTTCTTTACACAAATATGATTTAAATAAAAGTAGAGTACCTAAAATGAAAATAAAATTTAATGACAAATCGTCGAAAAGGAATATTGAAGGTGACAATATGGAAATTTCTTTTAAAAGAAAACATATGAAAAAAATTGTTCCTAAAGTAAAAATAAAGAAAATAAGAACTGAAGCAACAACTATGCAAAATGAACGAACAGAATCTTCATTATTAGTGATGGAAGTTGATACTTCGAACACTAAAAATGAGACTAGTTCCAATAAAATGTCAATAGTTAATGAAGAAAAAAAACAAGAGAAAATTCCTAAATTAAAACTGAAGAAACCTCAAGAAATCATTTTACCTATGGAATCTATTCGAAAAAAAACAAACGTAAAAACCGTTGATATAGCGGTGAAAAAATATAAAAGCGATAAGAATGAAATAAAATTTACTCAAAAACATGAAGATATAATTGAATCAATATTGAAGCAAAACGATAATTCGTCTGTGTCTGAACGTGAAGTAAAAAATAAATTATTACCCTGCATTTCAGAAAAGGTTCCAAAGGTTATAATCAAACGTGCCTCTGCGAGTGCAGAATTTAAATGTGAATTTAGTGAAGGTGGTAGTGATACAATAATGAATAGCTCTAAATGGCAACCAGAAGTTAAATTACAAAGATCTCGACATTTAGATAACATGGTAAAGGACCTAAAATACTGCCGAATATCTAAAGCATATATAACACGAAAATGTATAGATATTATTTCTTCACACAGATCAAGAAGAATATTTCGAGATAAAAGACATAATAAATTGAATAAATTATATAAATCAAGTTCTGTATCGGATTTGTGTCCAATGAAATATGAGGAAAGTAGAAAATTAAATTATAATTATAGTAATAACAAATTATCTGATACAGAAGTTACACCTATTCTTCAAGGAATAGAAGAACATAACCAATTATCTATAAAATCAATTAGCAAGTACAAATTTGAAAAAAATCTATGGAACATAGATGATAAATATCTAGAAGAATCTTGTGTTTCTGGTGATATTGTAGATAAATCTTTATGTAAACATTCAGACGATACAGATAATATGGACCATTCGATAATAAAAACAGATACTTCAAATATAACAAATAACCCTAACTTAAAAAATAATGCTGATAATAGTGATCTCAGTACTATAAATTTTAATGCTAATTCTACAAATAATGTAAGTAAAATACCATTAATCACGCAAAACGACTTGAATCATTATAATGATAATGAAAATAATAAGTTTCTTAGAGAAAATAATGACTCTGAATCAAAACCTTCGAAATCTGATATTGCAACAGATGATTCTGCAGATCATGATTGTTCAGTTATAAAATTGGATTCCTCGGACGAAAGTCAATCAACAATAGAAATTTTGCCAGCTTCTCCAGACATAAATCAAGTTGGAATAGAAGAACCTAATAACAGCCTTAGTAATGAGGAAAGCGAACAATTGTATTCAGAAGATGCTATACCTACTCAATTTGAATTAGAATTAGAAGTTACAGATAGTAATATCGACTCTGTAGTAGCATCTCCTCTAAGACATGAGTTAAATTCTGAACATTTTAATGAAACACAACTAAGAGCATGGCAACTAAATAAAAAACTACAAGATTTCAATGATTTAAAAAATTATACAAATGAAAATGTTCCACTTGCTAATAGTAATCAACAAAGCTCTGAAGTTGCAGAAAAAAATAAACTATCTAGCAAAGAAAATATTTCATTATCAATATCAACTCTTACACATGACAGTTTGGAGAATCATACAATGGAAACGACAATTGCATCTCGTGAGAACCTTTGTTGTAATGATTTACTTATGAAGGAAGTATTGGCTGCTAAAGAAATGCTGAAAAAATGTTTATCTATGTCTAAAAATGACACCACTTTAAAAAATACATCAAAATTGAGATCACTTATAGAAAACAATAAAGATTCTTGTCTTACTTCCAGTAGTCATACAAAAACATTTCTTAAGACTGTTACTACCCATCATACATATGAAATAGATAAAATAAATCAGCAAGAATCAGCGAATGAATCAAATATAAAAAAGATAGGAAAAAAGAATTGTAATGAAGTAATAAATAAAGTTATACAAATTACCAAATGTACAGAGAAAAAAGATATAAAACATACTGATGTTAATGTGCAAAGTACTTTAGTTTCTGCACACAATTCTCCTATAATATCATTGAAAACTCTTAAACGATACAGTCAATCTGTGCCAAATAAAAATATATCAACTTATGCGAAATATCGTAAAATATCGGAAGAAGATGGGAATGAACACTCAATATGTCAAAGTAGTCATACTCATCAAGTGGAAGATAAAGATCAAGATGTTAAAGTTGAAAAAAATATGACTCATCCTAAAATTGAAACGACATCCGATAATGAAGATGTACAAATTGAAGATGATAAAAATTTTAATCAGTCCAGTAAAAGAGAAGATAATATGCCAATATTAGAACCAGAAATCGCTTTCAGTTTCGATGGAAGTTCAGATAGAGATAGTTCAAGATCACCGCCTGTTATAACAAATCAAGAGATTGTAACTACTCAAAATGAAATACTAAAATGCTTGCAAGAAGAAGTATTAGCATCAAATGATAAAAAAGATGATAACAAGAAATATATAGCAAAAGAATATGATATGACTGTAAATGATATTGTTACACAATTAGCTTATCATAAAAAGGTAATATATGTTTTATCATTATATAATTTAAAGTACAAAACATTATTATTAAAATATGTATTTAAAAATAACAAAAGTACAGTATTTTTGAGTTATAATGTTTTTATATTCCTACAGTCAACAATAAGGCATAAAAGATATTGTAATCTATGTGAAAAATGGTTTCCAACGACATCTCGTCATAGACGACATTTAGCTGGATATCAACATCGTCACATAGAATTGACACAGCGAAGAGCGATTCATGCACTTTTTATTCTTTTTACTGGCAAACCTTGTTCAAAACTGTTGCGAGCTACTAGTATGCGAGATGATTGTTCTATAGGCGAATTAACACCTTTACAAATTGCTGTTCAGGTAATATATTTTATTACAAATTAATTTATAATGATTTTTTTCCATGAATAATTTTATATATACATTATTATTTATTTTTATAGGATTTAGCTAAATACTTGGATGGTACAGAAACGAATCTATTAATACCAAATAATGTCGAGAAATAACCAAAAGTAGTTTTTGAATTATGTAACATGTCAAAAGAGATGGGCAAAAATTTCATATTTCAATTAATCATTAGATGACAGTCCACATGTTTTTGACCACATCAGTATAATGGAGTTGATTGGAATTAGCTGAATCAGCTAATATTTGTTACTTCGTTGACCGTATGTTACCTGAAACAGTTACTTTATGTAGTAATTAACTATTTAACCAAAGACTTTATTAGACTAATAGTGTAACTAAAAAAACTACTATTATATAAAGGTTTGAGACTTTGCACCAAAATACCGCAATGCTGTATGCTAGTGCATAAAACTGTTGTTTGAACTTCACAAACAGCTCTAAATAAAATGGCTGTTGTTTATTCTTTAAATGATAAGAAGTCATCACATAATTTTTACACGTATGTAATGCTGTTTATAGAAGAGTGTGTTCACAAAGGCATGATTTTAAAAAATAGACTTTCGAGCCAACAATATTGCAATTTTTGAAGGCTATTATGTGGCTATTAGTTTATATACACATGGTTATGAATGATTTAATCTATATATGTGTCTGTGTATATATATACAAGCACACACACACACATATATAAACGAATGTTTATTTATATATAAAGAAAATATATCTACATATAGATACATATATGTATACATGTGTAACTTACGAATTACATGCATACTTATATTTATTGTTCCAGTTTTAAAAATATGTACACATGTACACACTCATATATATATATATATATAACAATGTTTAATTATTATAAGTTAAACATATAGGCATATATTATGTCATATCTTTTAGAATGAAGAAGATATATAAACTATAAGATATTCCAATATTTTCAATTATACATATATAAAAATAATGAACTGTAAGATGCTGTATTGTACATTGATTGAGTAGATCGAACAGTTCTTTATGTTAAAATTAGTATATTAATATTTTTATTTGTTAAATTTCTTGTAGTCTCTGATAAAACTTTTATTTGTTATGGTACCACTTATTAAAAATTATTTTATAATGAATCGTGCAATATCTTCAATCAAATATTACAAATAAAAAATTAATTTTAGCCTTGCAATGTTTCTATAAGCGTAATTAATTATGGGATCAAATGTTAGTATAAAAAGAAGGCTTGGTTACTTATGGATACAAAAAAGTATATATATCTTCAAAATAGAATGAAAATATCTATATAGGAAAGTGCTTATAATATAATTTTACATATAACAATATTTACAGAGCCATATGTCGTCGATAACGACTTTTCATATGTCTTTTGTACTTTTCACATTTTGTGCCTTCTAAGTATAAATTAAATATTGAAGATTGTCGTGAATATAAGTATTTGCATATAAATTGCACCACATAAAGTGACTTTAGAATACATAGAGTAATTCTTATATAATTTTATCATCATATTTAGATTTATATACGTTAATTTTTAAATTAAATTTATAATTGTTAACTATTTTAATTATTTATCAAAATCCTTCAAAACGAAAAATTAAAATTGCTAATAAAAATGTTCTACTTAATTTTTGACAGATATTAATTATAAATTGTAAAGAAACATTATTTAAAATTGAATTATTTATTACTGAATAGAATTTAACATGCTTGTTTGTTTGAGGATCTTCAAAGCATATATAATGCTTTATTACATTTCTCTAGATAATAATATTGTTATGTCTCACATATTACATATAATTTATGATGTTTTATTAGATTTTTAACATAATTTCCTAATACTTACATAACGTAAATTTATGTAATGTATATATGTGCAAGGTTTCTAGCTTTAAAAGCAAATATTTGTTTCGAATCATTCCAGTATAATTTAAAAAAAATGAAAAAATATCAAATATTCATATAATGTCGTGATTTTCGATTTACGGTTAACTTATAGTAAAAAATATTATATTTATTTAACAACACTAAAATTATTATGCATAACTGCATAAACTGAATGACTGATTTCAATTTAACTTTCTACAGAACTATTCACTATTTATTCAAAATTAAACCAAAGTTTACCAAAAATTACATTTCTTGCATGTTATATATAATTGATTGTTGCAGGAAATGTACATTTTAGTTCATGATTTTAATTATAATACCACGAAAACAGTCAACTATTACTTCTTATAACAACTTCATTTATTTGCAATCCAAAGACACTATTTTTCAATTTAAATTTTTATATAAAACTTTGTATATATATTGAAATATGGGTAAATTAGATACAATTTTAATCTTTTCTAAACCACCAATTTCATAATCATTTTAATCTAGTAAAAAAAAGTAAATTTCAAATATACCTATACATTCCACCCTATTTTAATGTTACGTATATTAGATTTTCCTATAATCATTAATTTGTTTTATGTTGACAGTTGAATATATATAAAACTTTTTTTTTAAATATTACAAATTAAATTGTAAATCGTAAATGTGTATTTTACTTTAAATGTTCTTTATAATTTATGAATATAATGTTATCATTTATAATTAAATTCATAATCACTTTTACTTAAAGATTTTAGAATTTTAATTTGAATTCGGATCAACAGGGATAAGATGTATTTTAATATAAAGAAAAATTAATATATATATATATGCTCATTTTAATTCATCACTGTAAATAATGAAAGAAAAATAATATAATCCGATCAGCACATATCGATACATAGATCAAATAGAAGAGTTTTATTTTTTATTTATTATTTACAAGGAATTTTATTGACTTACATGTGTAGCATCGTTGCTAAATTTTATGTTAGGTTTTGAGGATGAATCTATTAGATCATATTTTCATTTAACTTTGTGCTTTACTGGCACGAGTGGCGTTTAAGATCCTATGTATGTGACTGTGTTGTAACATATACTTATATATTGTGTAAAAAAATACATAATTATATCTATATATATATATATCTATATATATATATATATATATATATAGATGTATTCTATGTACTTGCAACAGTTCCATAAATATTTACATAGTATATACGTAAGTTATAAGAGGCTACAAATTGTTATAATTATTTTTATGTAATTAAGTCAATTTATTTATTTATTCATTTAAAAAAATTAGTAAAATAAATAGTAATAAGCTAAAAAAATATATTATTGCTTTATTACAAATAATAACAATTTATAATTATGCTTGGTGTGAGGGTAATATAAATTTGTTGGTTTTATTATATAATTGCGTGTTATATACAAACGTTTAAAATTAAATGTTGTTTCATACATATGTGCACATTGTTATATTAGCATATTTCTGTATCTATAATAAAGAAATATTATAGATATTAATAAATATTTACGTGAATTTCTTTGCGCATAAATAAGTATAATGTAATATTTTAGCAGATAAATATGTTAATTACCATTAAATCAATAGAACCCAATATATATGCCGTGTAGTATAGATCAGATTTCTTGTCAGATCTAATAAATTAAATTATTTCACAATAAAATTATCTGCATTTTAAATTTGAATTACGAAATGTAGGACATATTAAATGATTTGCCTTTTTTTTTTTTTAAATAAACCTATAGAAACTTGTAATATATAAAAAATACAGTAAGTATTAATATTAAAAACTATTTCATTATTTACATATATGTTTGTATATATAATTTGATTTTTACAAAGATATATTTTTTTGAATTATTAAATAATATATTTTACTTGAATCGTAGTAAATTTAAAAATAAATTGTATTAAATAATTTTTTATAAAAATAGGAATTTTTAATATTTTTTTTTTTTATTTACAATAGAGGGAGGATTATATATTAAATAAAATGTTAAATAATTATATTAGATAAAATTTTCAAATATTGAAATAAACAGATACTTTTATAGTCAAGGCAATATGATGTATTGTATTGTATATTTTTATCGTGTCCTAAAAGTTATAAGACTTCCATTTTCATTCCGTTTTACATAGATTCTTGTCCTATTTTTATATTTTCCTTATTACCTTTTCCCCTTTATTCCTTTTCTCTCCCTCTGCTTCCCTACCTTACCCTTTACTTCCGTTCCTCAGGCTATTACGCCATCTTTCTTTTGTGTTTTTCCATCTCCTTCATCCACTGCTTTTCTCTTCCTCCTTCATTTAGGTAACGTGACTTTTTTAACATATTTTTAATTGGTTTAAACTTCGTATTTATAATTTGAAAATACTTCATCTCCCAATAAGAATGTTGGTTCATATAAGGAAAATTTAAATTTTATCTGATAAAAGGTATGGGATTACTATCATACGTGAATGTATCTATGTTTATTGATACAAAGTTCTGATGTTAAATTATTCTCATGCGCGTGTAATTATTATCATTTGAAAACGTACACGTGAGGTAAGCAATAAAATTATAATCAAAATTGTTATCATTTTTTTATTTCTTTTACTAATATTTAGTAAAAAATATATAGAAAAACAAACAACGAATTTTGTTTATGGCCATTTTACGAGTTCATAATGATAGTATATTAGAGTATTTAAAGATCAAAATTGAATGGACTAAATATTAAAGGTTAAACGATTGTTTAGGAATGCGTCGCTAATTATGAACACATCTACGTTATCATCAAATACTTTAGGACATTCAACTGGTCAAAGAACATCAGAATCTCAAGATTCTGAATTAACATCTAGTGGTTCTCATACATGCAAAATCTTGAATCAAATTAAATCTGAATTGCAAGAACAAAAACAACAAAAACGACTTTTGAAAGAATTGCATCTTAAAAGAGTACAATCCCTGCGTAAAGAATTAGAATACCTTAAGGCAACTGAGTGGAAGTATCAACCTATAGATCGGTATGTATTTTGTTTATTTTGATCAGGTAATTATTTCTTACTGTTAGAAAAGATGAAGGTAACGTTACATTAGAAAATATATAATATTCACAGATACTTGGATCAAAGTTACAGAAACTAAAAATGTTATCTTTATTATATACTCTTATTAATAATGTTTGGGGGAATAAAAATTCTTCACAACCAGAAGATGATATAAATACCATTATAGCCCAGATTGAAAATATTACAAGTACAAACACATTGTTATCAGAGAATAAAGAAAATTATGATGAAAAAACCTATGACGAAAAAGGATGTTATTATAAAACAGGAACTGTTACTTTTGTCAACGATGATTATATTCTTATAGATAACCATTCTATGTGTGATATAATTAATATAATGACTCGTAAACCTAAAGTTGGAGATGTAGTTTATTACTTAGCATACAAAAAGAATGAAGATAATGAAGAAAAGATATGTAAGATTATATCAGTAATGGAAGAATCTTGGGATGATAGTGTTATTATGCCACAAGAAAGTATTGTGAAAACAGATATATTTACAAGAAATATTATTGGGAAAGTTAGTAAACGAGAGGGAAGGATTGTATTTATTAATCCTGGTAACATCTATTTCGATCTAAACAAGATAAATTCTGAATTTGTACCTATAGTTGGCGACTGGCTTAAGTTGGAAGCTTTGGTAGAAGTAAATGATAGTAATATTGATTTGACTGGAGAAATTTTAGAAGTTAATAAAATACAACCTTTAAGATTTAAATTGGATATTGATAATATAACTGATTATGACCCTAACAAACAATGCGGTACAATTGGAAAGAATATTTTTTTTTATAAAACTGCTTGTGAATCTGGTTACATACCTTATGTAGGTGATAAAGTAGTAAGTGATTCTATAGAAAGCGATCAAAGGATATATTCATGGAGATCTTTGAGTGTTGTTCCATTAATGCAGGCAAGCAAATATTCACACATTGTATAACAATTCCTAATTTATTTAAATATACAATTCATAATAATTTATTTTTAGGTTCCAGATAAACCTACGGAATTACCAACATTAGAATCTTTCAAGTCTTGGTTACCACAACATACCAATCTGGATCCATTGATTAAAGATAAATGTGGCATAATTATTACCAATGACTTAAAAATCAATGTAAATTTAGAAGAAGAGAAAGATATATTTGTTGAAATACATAACACAAGCCCTGATAATCAAACCTTGTGTAAAGGAGTCTTTATGTCAAAGAAAGCACAATCGCAATTGTCTTTAATATGGCCTCTAAAAAGACAAATTATCGATTTGAAACCTTTTGAAATTATTTCTTACCAATTTAAGTGCAATCCAAAATTTGTAGGAACTTCTGAAGAATTATTTATTTTCTATTTTAAAGGATTCCAAATCGGAAGAGTTTTTACAATAATAGTTAACCCAAAAAATATAAATGCTCATAAACGGTCGATTTATAAAAAAGATAACTATGTTCCACGTAGGGATCGAGATGAACAAGCAAAGTACGTTCCGGGGATTCGGCCCTATAATCCACCAGTTCCTTTTAAAATCCGTACTCTTTCATTTAAAATACCACAACGCTTTTGGGAAGTCATATTAAATAATTATAATAAACCACCAATTGAATATGAATTAGCAGTTGGAAATGAAATACCTTGTCTTGTACAAAGACTATCTTTCGAAATATATAAAGATCGTTTTCATGCTTTATTATATCTGGAAGAAATTGAACAAAATTTTAATCTAAATCAATATGACATGGAATATGCTATAATGAGACGTTACAAAGATTATCTTTGTTTAGAAGTACTTGGTTTAGCAGAAAAACGGCCTTCTCTCCTTATTGGTGATAAAGCTATAGTATCCTTTAAATGGGATAAAAATCAAGGTGTGTACAAATATTTGCTTTTATTAAGAGACTAAAATCTTTACAATGCTGTTTTGTTTGCTACTATTTCAATTAAATTGAAATGAAAAATTATATTTCTTTCTGGTATCATTATTAGGTAAAATAAAATATGAAGGATACATTCATAAAGTGACAAATACAGAAATTTTTCTAAAATTTAATAAACGATTTCACGAAAAATATAACAACGAAATTTGCCATGTAACATTTAAAACTTCTACTACTGTTATGCAACGTTGTCACAATGCTGTTAATTTAGCAGTATTACATTTAGGACCTGATTTTCTTTTTCCTACTCGTATTATTGAAAAATATCCACAAATAACTTTAGATGTAATTGATAGCGAAGAGAAAGCACTTCATGTTAAAAGAAAACTCAAACGATACGAATCAATTTCATCTATATCTTCAAGTACAACTAGTGATAGTTCTGATACAATAAAATCATTGCCAAGAGTATCAGTTGCAGAAAGACTTTTTAAAGTCAAACCAGTGGAACAATCTAAGAATATAACAGAACATCCTAATTTGGAAACAGTTGATAGTGCTACTGATTATCACACTAAAAGTATTAGTAATTTTGAAAATAATAAAGATAATGATATAGATATAAATAAGGATAAAGATAACAATAAAGATACTCTTGACTTGTTTGTAACTCCAAATTCTCCTATTACCAGTAATGATTTGACATTAGATGAATGCATTTCACAAATAAAAAAACGAAAGTTAAATTGGTTTAATAAAAATCTAAATTATTATCAAAAAGAGGCTATAAAAAATATCTTAAAGGGATTAGCTCGTCCATTGCCATATGTGATATTTGGTCCACCTGGTACAGGAAAGTCTGTTACTTTATGTGAAACAATTCTACAATTATTAACAATTCTACCTGACAGTAGACTTTTAGTTGCTACACCATCAAACAGTTCAGCAAATTTAATGTTGGAGAGACTATTGGATAGTAATGTTTTGAAACCTGGTGACGTGGTAAGTATTTTTTATATTTTATTTGTTTCTAACTATATCATCAAAGGTCTTTTTTAGGTACGACTTATAGCGCATCATTGTTTAGATGATGGTACCATCCCATCAAAACTACTGCCTTATTGTGCAACTGTAAATATAGGTCTAGAAGGACCACATGATCAATCAGAATCATTTCATCGAAAAGTTAATTTTACTGACACTATAATTGGACGTCATAGAATTACAATTGCCACTTGTTCAGCATTAGGAGCGTTATTCAATGTGAAATTTCCTCGCAATCATTTCTCTCATGTACTAATAGATGAAGCAGGCCAAGCAACAGAGCCAGAAATTATGATACCGTTAAGTTTTATTCATGCCGATTATGGACAAGCAATTCTAGCAGGTGATCCATTACAACTTGGTCCAGTTGTTCAGAGTAGATTGGCAAAACATTTTGGTTTTGAGGAATCATTTCTTTCAAGAATACTTCATCAATTTCCTTATCAAAGAGATCCTGAAGGATTTGAAACTGGTTACGATCCTAGACTCGTAACAAAACTTGTTATGAATTATCGAAGTTTGCCAGAAATACTAGAACTGCCAAATTCATTATTTTACAACTCCGAATTGCAACCAAAGGTATATATTTACATTATTCTTAAAAATAAAAAATACTGACTACGTTTTAAACAATCACTTTCTAGATTTCATGTAACAATAGCGATGAAGCGAATCTTTTACAATTACTAGCTGAGGAATTGCCTGAAAGGGCAGGATTACCACCAGCTGTACTTTTTCATGGAGTAAAAGGAGAGAATTTAAGAGACAACGATAGTCCAAGTTGGTATAATCTTGAGGAAGCAACACAAGTATATCTTTATCTTTTAAGATTCTACAAATATGGAATTTCTGCAGATGATATTGGTATCATAACCCCTTATCAAAAACAGGTGAACATTATAAATATATATATAATTAATTGGTAGTTATAGATATAATTTATGGCATACCTTATATATGCATATACATATACATATGCATATATATATAAATATATATATAAATATATATATATACCTGTTATAAAGGTTATGCAAATTCGACAATTACTTTTGGAATCAAATATTACATGCCCAAAAGTCAGTAGCGTTGAAGGATTTCAAGGGCAAGAACGAAAAATAATAATTCTCTCAACAGTACGATCCTCTACAAGTTTTATCAAAGAAGATATCAAACATGCTTTGGGGTTTGTTGCTTCACCAAAAAGGTTAAATGTTGCAATTACTCGTGCGCGTGCTTTATTAATTATTCTTGGAAATCCTGAATTATTAGTTGAAGATCCATACTGGAGAAGTATTCTCCTTTATTGTCTTGACCGAAATGGTTATACCGGATGTAATTTTTTTCCTTTTCATCTTGATAATTCACTTGCAAATATAGATAATATTTTCAGTGAAACTTAATATATGTGCACATATATGTATTACTGATATTGTGAAATATGTAAAAAAATTTTAAGTATTTTATTTTTGTATCATTTCTGTGTTTATTGATTTAATGTTTCAACGCACACATGAAAAAACAGTCACTATAATGAATAACATATGGTAATAATAGTAAATATCAAGGTTTTCTATCTACATGTAATTAACAATAAGTAAATGTGATTTTTAAGTTGTTTTAAAAAAGATTTATTATTTTCAAAGGTCTATATAGACCTTTTTCAAAATGAATAAAATATTTGTTTATGTACTTAATGTGATAGAATTTTATACAGCGAGATGTATGAAGCTATGGATCAAGCAGTAATACAGCGTATTTTATTATAAGTTTAAATGTTCCAGATAAATTATTGTAATCCTTTATGTCATCTTTTATATTCATACAACTTTGTATAAGATGTTTTGACGTCACACATCCATATTCCAAGAACGATGGTACTGTAAAAAAAAATATGCTTATTATGCATGATCTTTAACAACACAAAAGAACGTTATTATGAATTCTAAATTCTTAAAATAAAGCACAAATAAAGCAATATTTTATTTATAAATAATATACTAATATATTATGAAGTTTATAAGAACTTGTAATTGTGTCACACACTTTTGGAAGTTAAGAAAAATTATTTTATGATAAATTATATATATATAAAATATATATAAAATATATATATATATATTGCTATGACGAAAATAAATAAATCATACTGAAAACATATCAACTCTTATTAAAAATGTTAATATTAAAAATATTTGGAAACTCAAATAATCTCTTTAGAAATAAACAGTAATGCATCTTAATCAAGACTGACAATAAAAACGCAACAAAAAAGAAACCGATTGTTTCTTTACATTATATATATAAAATGTAAAACTTTCACCATTTGTAGTGTAATTATCCTGTCATGCTTTGATGTAAAGACCTCTTGCTTGTTGATATTAATTGCATCAAACTTTTTATAATAAAATTATTGACTTTAAACTACCTTTAATTCCACTATTATTGCAATTTGACAGATTCAAAATAAAGAACAAGACACTCTAAGTGGATTTTGTTACAAGCGATACTGACCTCTATTAGTTCCACATTATACTTACTGGATCCTGATTCTTCGCTTTTACTTTCCGTTCAATTAAATTTTCTAAAGCTTCACTTCGTACACTTAAAGTTTCAATTTTCTCCACCAGTTGTTGGTATGGAGATGCTGGTTGTCCACCCATTACAACATGTCCTAATTTACTGTCAATTTTTGCATCTAATCGGGCATTACGAATTAAGTTAACTATCCAACATTCTGCAACATCTGCCTTCATATTCAATTTTTCCGCAAGCATTCTGTTAAACATATAAATTATATCAAGTATAAAATATCTTTTTCGAAATATATGATTGTAATAATAAGTTTTAAAAATATACCCAATACTAATGCATTGATGAATTCTGCAGAAAGTTTCAAAGATCATTAATCTCGCATTTTCTACAAATTCATTTAATAATGCAATAAGGAAAAAATCATTGAATACAACGGTTTGACATTGTCGTAATTTCTGTCTTGCTCCATCAAAATCAAAATTAACATACAAGTGTTCCAAGAATTCAGTAATAGGATCCCGATATGTGTAAGATTCCTAAATTGTTAAAAATATAATATGAACATTTTATAATAAAAACAAAATTTTTGTAGGAATTTATAACTGACCTGTTGTATCACTTTCACGAGATCTTTTAATATAGATCGTCGAGAACGATTAACAATCACTGCTGCGGCTAAATAACGTAATATATGTGGGCACATTGTTTGAATTGCATTTAAATAACTGTAAAAAAGTAATATATAATAGAGTAATATTAAATAGAAAAAAGGAAAATAGCTTATGCGATACATACTGAGGTCGATAAAGAAACATTTCAATAATCAAATCTCTTCCCTTAACATGATTAAAAAAGACAAATAAACTCCAATGAATAAGCCATGTACGTAACTGTAACACTTGTACAGAATTCCCAATGATATTGCTATCAATATATTCTCTTAATTTATTTACATCTTCAAGTGCAGTTTCCCAGTTCTGTACAAGAATCTCAGAAGCTAACTTGCCCCATAATACATTCAAATAATTCTATGGAAAAATAACATCAAATTAGATCTCTTTGTAGGGTATATTAAAGTTTGTATTACTTAAAGTAATAATGTATAAATACCTTGTCAGTTGGTGGCATTATTAGCATGTAAAAATAAAGATATGAAGTGGAAACAGAATAATTACCACATTCATAACGATAATGTGCAAGTTTGACGAAGTTGTCCATCATTTCTACCCTAAACTACAAAACACAATTTAGGTTAATTATATTACAAAATTAATTATATTGTGTAAATTAAAGATAATTACATCAGATTCTTGAGTAAGGTAATTACTCAAAGCCTTCGAATCTCTCATGTTTTCCATTTTCTTCATAACTTCTTCATTATTCATTAGCGCTACAACAACAGAAACATTGTTTTGCAAAACGCTAAGTTCTTGTAGAACACCTGCACGTCTAGCTTTTAATTCCTACAGTAATAAATGTTTCAAATATTTATTATAGTATTATATTATGATCAGAAATACATTAGAAATCTTTCATAAAACCACATTTAAATCTAACAGTTACATACCTCTGGAACATCCAAATTAGGATACAATTGTTTACGAATATCAATTGTATAATCTATCATATTGGTTTTACTAAGAATATCCAACTTTGCTTGAAGTAATTCATCTTCGTCATAAATCTATATATATTAATAATAAGAACACATACAATTAATTACAAAAAGAGTTGCGAATTTAGAAGAAAAAATTGATTACTTACTTGTTTGGCAGATAAAAACTCAAGAAGTGGAAAAACCAAATGACGATCTAAATATTGTCCTATGCGAGATGTTAAATCGTATTTTGCCATCGTAATTTCGGATAAATATTATAAACTTTGATTTTAACCACGCTACAAATCAGAAGCAATGTGTCTACATAAGTTACTTAGGTTAACAATCGATAATAGTTCTCTTTCGATAATATCGGCGATTTCGATTATTGGTCAACTTCGATTCTGCAATAATTAATTCGAATTCTGATATTACAAACTATAATAATTTATTTTCATAACGTTTATAATAAAATTATATAAATACATTTTTTGTATATAATAGATTTTCATTGATTATAGACAAATGTGTGTAAATATGCATCTAATAACTTAAAATGTATAAATGTATATAAATTGGAAACTTACCCAAACCTTGAAAATGGTAGAGTTATCAAAAGTTCCTAAATGTTAGACAATAAAATAGGGTATTCTGACTTTATAATATTTATAAACTTGATCGAACTACATACATGCATTGTATTAAATACTCACATCAGTAATTTAGTCGTTCCGGTGGTCTAGAGAATGTATTAAAGGTTAGAGAAGTTAACAGTCTATGAACAATATTTGATACATTTTTAAATCTCAAGTGGTTTTGTAAATAAACAAATTTGACACAATGCCACCTAAAAAAGCACCTGCTCCGAGTAAAAAAGCAGAGCAAAAGAAGAAGGAAAAAGTAATCGAAGTATGTAAATGTCTTATATTTCTGTTTAAAATCTTTTATGCACACGTGTAAGACAGACTAGTAATAATTTGTTATAATAATGTTTTTTCTGCATATTTTTATCATTTACTGACATATATATTTTCTCATATTTTATTCATAGGATAAAACCTTTGGTATAAAAAATAAAAAAGGTGCAAAGCAACAAAAATTTATACAACAAGTAGAAAAACAAGTTAAATCTGGTGGTGTTAATCCACGAAAGATAGAAGATCCTAATGCTAAAAAATTAGAAAAAGAAAAAAAATTGAAAGAACAGAAGGAATTAGCATTAATTTTCAAACCAGTACAAGCACAGAAAATAGAAAAAGGTAATTTCTAATAAGATTTATTAATTTATATTTAACAAGAATTTTTTTGAAACATTTGTTAATATTAACATTTATTGTTGGAATGTGTAGGTACAGATCCAAAGTCTGTAGTATGTGCGTTTTTTAAGCAAGGACAATGCACAAAAGGAGATAAGTGTAAATTTTCTCATGATTTAAGCGTGGAACGCAAAGCTGAAAAAAGATCTCTATATTGTGATATGAGAGATGACGATGATAAAGAAACAGATACCATGGATAAATGGGATGAAGACAAATTAAAAGAAGTTGTAGAAAAAAAACATGGAGGAGGTGGTCACCGACCCACTACAGATATTGTATGCATGTTAACAGACTTTATTATTATTTCTTTTTAATATTAATATAATGTAAAATGAAAAATATATTATTGGTAAGTAATTTCAATTGTAGATATGCAAACATTTCTTAGAAGCAGTAGAGAAATCGAAGTATGGATGGTTTTGGGAATGTCCAACTGGTCAAAAATGTATATATAGGCATGCCTTACCACCTGGCTTTGTTCTTAAAAAAGATAAAAAGAAGGAAGACAAAAAGGATGAAATTTCATTAGAAGATCTAATTGAAAGAGAGAGAGCTAATTTAGGACCTAATCAAGTATGCATTTATTCTTATTCAAATTTTGTTCAATTTACTAAACTATTATAAATATGAATACTTAATTAAAATTCGGACAAATAATATTTCTTAGAATGGAAAATTTTAAACTTTGTGTAATGTTACAGACAAAAATAACTTTAGAAACCTTTTTGGCTTGGAAAAAGAGAAAGTTACAAGAAAAGAAAGAACAAGCCATCAAGGACGAAGAAAAGAGAAGAAATGATTATAAAGCAGGTCGTCAAGTGGGTATTTCTGGTCGTGAAATGTTCTACTTCAATCCAGAACTTGCTGCTGGGGACGGTACTAATATTAGCTTTATATTATATCTTTTCAACTTTAAATTGATTGGAATTATTATATATTTATATATTTGTTTCCATCAGGTATCGATGATGGTGATGAAGCAATATCCAGTTATGTACGAGAAGAAGATGAAGAAGAAGAAAGAATTGAATATAGAGAACTTGATATGGAACGACTTGCCTTTGAAGCTAGTGAGACTGATACTACGGGTATAACAGTTGCATCTACAGATCGCCTGAAAGCTAATGGCACTGATGAAATCAATCAGGATAGTACTGGTAATGTACTTTTTAAATGAACAATTTATAAAAATGATAATGCTGCTTTAATAATCTGTCATTTTTGTTTCAAATAGTGACTGTTGGAGAAGGTGCAACTGCCTTAGCAATAAACGAAAATCTATTTATGGAAGAAGACTTAGAAGATTTAGAAGAAGAATTAGGGGACCTGGACTTAGAGGAGTGATCCAGATGTCCCATTCTTACTTCTCCTCTCAAAATATTAATAATATTTGCCTATGATCATATATCTGTATTGTCCAGAGATTCATTAGTCATAAGTATGATACAGTGAGTCATTATTTACTTTTACCTATAAACAGCAAACCTATTCAAATAGATATTGAGAGCTGGTCTCGCACAGATAGCTAAAAAAAAAAAACACTTAAACATTATCTTGTTACAACAATAGTTTTAACAATTTTTATTTTATAGTTTCTTCTTTGTTCTCCAAATTTTAACTCTGTCCAAGCGAAGTCAGTTAAAAATAAGGTAAGAAAAGAAAAGAAAATTCTTTGAATAAGGGTTAATTTATGATCCACCACGGATTTAGGTTTTTTCAAGTAATATTTAATGAGTCGCCTGTTATGCTTTTAAAAGTATCTTTGACTAACGGTTATCGAATTTTAAAATCATATTACATGAAAAAGTTATTACTTTTACATCTCGAAAGCATTCACATCGCACATAGTAGATTTTTCTAATATTAAGAAAATTCTATTCCTATACGTTTGCAGAGATTTACATTATAAATTCTCATGACCGCAATTTCTATTCGATTTTGATGATCAAAAGTTTATTAGAAAAATAATAAATTTTTGACATAAGATAATTTTTTCTGATTTTCAACACGCTTTTACTAGCGTGAAAATTATTTATTTCTTGTATATATATACATAGACATGATTTTTATAAAAATATATCTGCTTTTATCATTACAATTATTTCTATAATAAATAAATTTAGTTAAACATTGATCACTGATTATAATAAATCAGCAATAATTATCCAGAATAACGCGTTAATGTTTTTATACCGTTTTAGATGCAGTTACAATTTTATTGCATTATTTATTATCTTTGAGTTGATGTTGATTATTTGTATGTGTATACAAATTTATAATTTCGATCATATACGAAGATATATCTTGAGATACATCAAAGCAGAAATCGTATTCAAGTTATATCAATGACCTTTGTGGCCAATTTCCTTTTTTGGAATCCTAGAAAAAATTTGTAAAATATCCTAACGGTTTTACAATTCCCTAGTCCAATTCTGATTCGGTGGACGTTCTCGAAGTCATCAAGATCAACTTTATTTTTTTGGATAGAAATCTATCATTTTCATAATGTTATCATATCTTAAGAAAAAGAAAAACAAATAACTTTTGTTTAAAACCTTTTCTATAAAACCTTTACTATCTACAATAACAAAAATAAGAATTAGTTACTAGTAGCAGATGGCGCGATGATTGTCAAACGCCACCTACTGACATCATTATGTACGATAATCGACTTACAACTATTCGAGTATCAGTTAAGCACGGGTTGAGCAGTAAAAAGTATAAAGTAGGGAGAGTTGAGCAAAACGTGTAAGTTACATAAAACTTCACGACGTATCTTTTTCTTCCAAAGTTTTTTCTATTACATATGTGGTTTAACTCCAAAGTAATATTAATTTTGCTATTGGTTACATACTTCAATTAGTTAATCGTGAAGTTCAGTTTCTAAGGAAAATTAGTTTTAACACCTTATGCAGATGGTGCTGTAATAGAAGAAGCGTTTCTTACAAAATATCCCAGGCACGTTACTACGTTTCCGGACGCGAACGAGTAAACAGGTGAATGGTGTATTCGACGTTAATGGTTATTTCTCATCTACTAAACTTACAAGTTGAACGAAATTAACCGAAATAATTCTTCGTCTAAACTTTGGTAATATAAATCAAACGTTTTCAGTGTTTTTAATTAGTAATAATAGTAAAATTGCCTGTCGCGATTTGTCGGAGTGAATAGTGCTTTGGTGGACAATACATCAAGGATTGTTCTTATATTTGTGACGTATACCTAGTAATCTTAAACAATACAAGACATACAAGTGTACAATGTTGTAGCTTATATTAAATCAATGTCGTTACAACGGAATACAAGAAAAAATTCTTCTTAATAATTACTATTAATAAAAAGATCATGGAGAAAATAAATAATTTCAATAGTGACCTTTTCTTGTCAGAAAGTGAATATGGTATGTACAATAATTGTTGTTAATATTTTTGTTTCTTTCAATCTTTTTTAGATATTTCCCTTTTAATAAATATGTAATATTAAATTAATTAAGGAAGTTCGTGATATTTCTAAGTTTGTTTATCTTTTTAATTTTTAATATTGTGAACTGAAACAGACCACAAGAAGCATTATCTTAATTTTATATCTTTTCCAACGTAACTTTGCTTTCTTCTATTAAATTATTATATAATTTTATTTTTATAATAATTTATCTGTTTTTTTTCTATTTTAGATGGGAACGATGGCGATTATAATGACAATGAGGTTACCAAATATCACGACAAACAGAGTAATTGTAAACCAAAAACGAAAAAGAAATACCGTACTTCAGCTTCTGAAAGTACAGTAAAGAAAAAGAAACGAAGCAAAAAAGTAAGCGATGTAATGTCTAATGTCAATAAAGAAAAAGAAGCTTCAACATCGAATGCTAATTATGATAGCGACTATCCTCAAAGCTTTAATGAAATGAATAATGATCCTGATTTTGAGATGAAACATACATCTCATGATTCTTTTTATGACTTTAACAAAGATGCACAAATGGATAGAATACATGAAACTTCTCCTTTTAATATTGAAGCATCTGCTTCAAATATTTCAAAGGGGATTAAGCAACATCGTTTGTCGAGTGATGATGATACTGATAATGATGATCAAAAAAGACGTAGTAATTCATATGATGATCATGACGATGATGACGATGACAGACATAGTGGTTTTATTAAAGACAACATATATAATATTGATAAAAATACTGAAAAGAATAGACAAATTCTTTATGAGGATTTCAATAAAGAACAGTTTGAAAGTTCATATGAGATGGCAGAAAGTTTTAGTGATGATGCACCTACATTCAATATATCCAACAGTAGCAAAATAAAGTACAATGAATCATTTGAAAATGATAAATTATTAAAAAGAAGTAAAAATAGCGATGAAAATTCTGCTAAGAAATTGTGCTTGGGTAAAGTAGGAAATACATCAATTACAACTGGTAGTGCTACAAATGGAAAAGGAAAAGCAGAACGTATGATGGAAAAAATGGGATACCAAGCTGGGAAAGGTCTTGGAAAAAATAATCAAGGTCGGTTAGAGCCAGTACAAACTTCAACGCAACATGGGCGTAGAGGAATTGGACTTTCTTATCCTGAACTTGAAGCTGCGAGATTAAAGTGGAATCCTGATGAAGAAATTGTACAAATTAAAGAAGAAATGGAATGGTTAAAAAATGCACATCGTCATATACCAACTATTAAAGAAATGCATGACTGGATGGTATTGGGTCTAAAAAAAGAAACAATAGACGATGAAACTAAATTTTGTGAGGCAAAAATAGTGAAAGATATCTTAAATTCAAAAACAATATTTGATAAGATTAATAAAACAGAAAAGCGTAAGGCAAGAACGCGTTCCAATCCATATGAAACAATTCGAAATGCATTCTTCTTAAATCGTGCTGCTGTCAAAATGGCAAACATGGACAAAGCTTGTGATTTTCTATTCACCAAACCAAACAATTTAAAAAACAATGAGCTGCTATATTTCGCAGACGTATGCGCTGGTCCTGGTGGATTTAGTGAATACGTTTTGTGGAGAAAAAAGTGGCATGCTAAAGGATTTGGTTTTACTTTAAAAAATGAGAATGATTTCAAACTAGGTGATTTCTATGCTGGATCACCAGAAACTTTTCATACCTTCTATGGTCCAAAGGGTAATGGGGATGTATGTGATGTAAGTAACCAAGAGGCTTTTAGAGATTTAATTATGAAACATACTCATGGCAAGGGTGTACATTTTATGATGTCAGATGGTGGATTTTCAGTGGAGAATCAAGAAAATATTCAAGAAATCATGTCAAAACAAATATACTTGTGTCAATGTTTAGTAGCTTTAATGATAGTAAGAAATGGAGGAAACTTTGTAACAAAACTATTTGATCTCTTTACGCCTTTTAGTGTAGGATTAATATATTTGATATATCGTTGTTTTGATGAAGTATGTATTTTCAAGCCGAATACTTCAAGGCCAGCTAATTCAGAAAGATACTTGATATGCAAAGGAAAACGACACGATACAAATGATATTGTAAAATATTTATTTTATGCAAACAAAATATTATTAAAAGGAGACGTAAATAAGGATGTTATAGAATTAGTTCCATTAAAAGAATTAGAAATAGAAAAAGAATTTGTACAATATTTGAGAAAATCTAACAATAATCTTGGAAGAAAACAAATTGTAGGCCTTCTTAAAATAGCTGCTTTTTGTGAAGATAGTACACTTATAGAACCAAGACAAGCAGATATGCGACGAGAATGCTTAAAATATTGGGAACTACCAGATGAAAGTCGCACTGTACCATCTTTTAGTAAACCACAAGAAAATATCAAACATCTCATGAAAAATCGTGATAATATACTTTCACATCAGCAACAAAAATTAACATATGAAAATATTCGCCAGACTGTGTTACATACACCATATGACTGGCTATGTACACCTTGTGGTACTGGAGAATCCAATAAATTAACTACATTTTATATGGGTATGGGAAGAAGAAAAGTATATCGTTATATGAATAATAGTTGGGAGCAAATTAATGACCTTAAAATAGAATTACCTCCTGACACTCTTGTGTACGCAGAAATAATAAATGAGATTGCAAAAGAAAGAAAAAGTCAACGCAAAATTTATGCACTGCATATTTTGGATGCTTGGATACTCGGCGGAGAGGATATCAGTCAAAAATATTTGCCAGATAGGTATGTATATTCGTAAACAAGTTTATTTCTATAGAATTTCTAGTTTTATTTCATTATTCATTTTATGTAAAATTTACAACACACACCTCTATCACACACACATTTTATATTTTTTAATCATTTAATGTTCTTTACAGGCATGAACTTATAAAAAAATTTTGTGAAGCTCTATGGAAACCATTTCCTAATGATTTTGCAAGAGTACGTGCAAAGGAGCTATATGCGTTTAGCCCTGATATCGATAAGAAATTACAACTTATTCAACGTTATATGAAAAATAATAGACCAGAATTAACGTGCGATATACCAAAAACACCTTTGGATGATGAGGAAACATTATATTTCATACCAAATAGCATCATCTTTTTAAGAAGTACTAGTCGACCTTGGTTCCGATATTATAGCAAAAGTCAACATGAAACATATATTCATAATCAAAAAACTAACGAATCACATTTCGATAGAAGAAGGCCACCAGCAGCAGAAGCTAAATTTGATGAAACATTTTCTAATAGTATGATATGGTATTGGCCTCATGATGAAATGCTTTCAATGAATACAGTCATTCACTCTATTAGAGAAAAATGTCCAGAATTAATAGATAGTAAATAATTATAATACAATTTTATATATATGTATATATATGAAAAAAAATTTTCATTATTTGAACCAATCATTTGCCAAATCGATTAAGTTTACAAAGTAAAAAGTAGACAAAATTGAACAAGTAATGAACATTGTCGGATCATTTATTATTGAACGGCCATAAAAATTGTTCTCATTTAGTGGTATTAGGATTAGTTATTAGTCATATTTAGTTTAAATATAAAAAATTAAATATTGATCACACAAGTACTTTGATAAAAAAAAAAATTTTGTTTAATTCTAAAAGCCGAGTTCATTGCTTTGGTCTGTGAACGGTTGGTTCATTCATAATAATGATACTCAATTTTTGCTTATAGTTTATTTAAGCAGCTATTTAAAATTAATCATTTGAGTACGGACTCGTTTTTTATAGCTTTCCGCATAGTTAGGGAGGAAAGCTTTTTCTTTTTCTTCTAGAGCATTTCTTATAGTGAATAGTTAATACCACTTCTCATTTCCCAATCGGTATCTGACAAAATAGGATTTGTCATTATACATAACAGTTAATAGAACAAATCTAATTGTAATTGTGCTCTTTGGATTTTTTTGCACGACACAGAAGAGCGTGATCGTACTCGTCCGTACTCAAACAGATAATTATATTCTGTTCGATTATTAGATTTAAGTTGTATAATATATATATATGAATCGCTTATTTGCCAAATCAATTAATTTCATGAAACAAAAAGTAGAAAAATTTGACAAAGTAATATACATTGTTGTATCATTTATTATTGAATAGTCATAATTGACCATTGTGTTATTTATTGATTGGTGTTAAGCCTAATTATTGAGAAAATTTATTTTTATTTTTTTTTAACCCTTTGATTGCAGCGCATTCTAACACAAAATCATCAATATATACAGCGCAATATTCGCATGTTAGTCACTGTAACTGGCTGTCGCAAATTGCTATGCTCATTGACCAAAAAACATATTTATGGGTGCAAAATATGTTTGGAAAGGAAACACAAACGTAATTAAATATAAAGAAAAAAAATTTAGAGAGCATATATATACATTTTTCGTATATATAAATAGACATGCGAGGACATATATATCTTCAGCAGTTGAAGGGTTAAATATAAAAAGTTAAGCATCAATCAAGCACTTTGACAGTAAAATTTTTTAAAATTCTCAAATATAATTGTTTTGGCCTGTAAACGACTCATATAATAGTCTATAATAGACTCTGACTAAATATATTAAGTTGTATTGACTTGTATATTTTCGATACAGAAGAGAAAACTTTTATATGGAATAATCAATTTTTGTTCATAACCCGAAATAAAATACCTTGTTACAATTATGCATCCAAGTAATATTCTATAGCATTTCTTTTGTATGATTTTGTTTTTCTCCAGTGTAAATAATAATAATGTATATCATTTTCTATGATTAGTATTTATCATTAGAATAGATCGAGCAAATTATTTGCTGTGATGCGTGTCTCTCTTTGTGTGTTTGTGGGTGTGCGTGTGTGTATATACGCACGTGTACATTGTGCACGCAACTATACATAATTCATATATACATAAAATATCAATATGTACAGAAGATAATAAAAAGTATAAAATTTTATGGATAAATTTGTAAATGGTATAATTTGTTTTTCGTAAGGATTATTAAATATTTGTTAGTTGCAACTGCTCCCATTATAATAGAAGATGGAGAATCACATTCTAAATCTACAATCCATTGTTTACTTATTTGAGAATTATTTTCTGGCCTTTCATAAAGAAAAACGTGTCTTGTGTGTTCTATTATGGCAACGTATGAACCATCTAAAAAATATAGCATTGAAAGAAAAAGAAAATTCAACAATCTAATTATGTAAATATAAATCTTACCTGGAGAACATATACAGAATTTTTTATTACTTTTACTTGCTTCAACATATCCAAAACCTGGAAATGTTGTAGTATGTTTTATTTTCCATAGATTGTCTTCTACAATATCAGTAATCCAAAGACAACCATCATGATCGTGTCTAAGACATATTGTCTGTCCAAATTTCATTTTATATGTAAATAGTACATGATTATTTGTACCAAGAGTAGCCTGATGTGTTATTTCCTGCGATGTAAGATTTATTCTTTGCAAGATGTTTTCTTTTCCTTCTATATCGCATTCTTCCAATTGTTCAGAATTAAATCCTAAACACGGTTGACCTTCTCCACCAGGTGCATCTGGATTTTCAGAACATAGATGTGCTAATCTAAAAACAATATTATAAATATGTAAATATATAATACTCGTGTAAAATGATATGAAATGAAATACCTAGAATGAATTTCAGCTGCTAGTGATTCATTTGGTAAACATTCTCCTCCTGTATCACCTTTAATTAACTCATCCCACATTAAACCATTTTCAAACTTTATTAAGTCCAATTGTAATGTGTCCTTTTCATGTTTCCAAGTAGTAAGCTTCTCATCTAATCTGTGTTGACATTCGCCTTGTATTAAAATATCATTATTTACAGTAATTGATATTTCATTAGATTTTACATTAACTTTGGCCTGACTTTGATAATATTTTTCCGGTATTTTAATCCAAACTGTAAGCGAATCTTCGTCTTGAGACCAGCAATATTTAGGAATTTTTATGTGTTCTCTATCACTTATATTTTTTATACTATTTTCTGTTATTTTCTTATCGTCAGATTCAAAAATAATATTATTTTGACAAATGGTATGTAAATGGTCACCATTTTCTTCGATAAATACATATTCTACGGTACCTCGTACTTTTAATACTTGTTTATTAGATAAATGAAAAGTATTTTGCTTTTCATCAGATTGTTGCCAAGTATAAAATAATAATACAAGCTTTGTACACTTTTTCCCATTATCATCAACTATAGATGACAACGTAATAATAATTTGAGATTTAATTTGCACATATCGGATATCTAAAATAACTCCAGGTTCTGCTTCTTCTAATAAAAATGTTTCAACATGACCAGAATTATCTTCCCTTAATAAATGGAGGCTGTTACCTCCATTAGAAATTACTACAATATTATTGCTAGTAAATCCGATCGATGGATTATATAATAATTTTGATGATTGAGCATTAGGAGAACATAATTTATATATTTTTTGAAGTGTTCCAATTTTATTTACACGCCAAATTATGTGTTCTTTATCAATAAACCAACATGATGTATCATAAGGATTTGTAAATAAATGATTATGAAGAGCAAATAATCTCACTTCCAACCAAGATTCTTGATCGGGATTTAATTCTAGCCTAAATACATCTGAAATATATTTAATTCGTGTATTATTCACCTAGCAAATCGTTAATAAAAGTATAGGTTATATATGGACGTACCATTTTCTAAACTTATTTCTGATTTCACAGGAACAACATCTGGAGAAAATTGATACTTTTCAAAACGTGGATTTAAAAGAGATCTGTCAGGATGTAATTCTATTATTTTCGTCATTACTTTTAATATCGCAACTCACGAAGTATGTTATGAGAGACACGCAATATATTCATTCACAAATAACTATAGTAACGCGATACATGTCATAACAAATTAATAATTTGATTGTTACAAATTATAAGTGAAACGTTAAATAAATAAATTTAGGTTAAACGCGTTTAATCGATTAATTAACTAAAACATTAAATTTAACTTAAATAAAATATAACGCATGTGTATCTTAACCTAAAAGCAAGCTAAAATATTGCACGATAGTGTTTATATACACTTCCATACACACACCTATTATATAACAGGAAAGAAAGTACAATGTAATTAATGTTCCCGTAGTTTTATAGTTAAAAAAAAAAGAAATTTAGAGTATTCATCATAAAAATGAAACCATGTTATAACATGTCAATTTATTACAAACAATATCATTACAATGTTATATACAATCTAACTGAACTATTCTGGTACATTCTGTATTTATTTACATTATGTATAAATACACACATTCACGTTCACGAATTTTATTAACATTTCATATTAAAGTTAAAGCTCTTAAACCAATAATATATTCTTATTGAAACTTATACGTACAAATAAATAATAAAGAAGACGTTAATAAAGACATAACAGAAATAAAAATAAAAGAGCTATACACAGCACAAAAATAGAACATGTTTTTGATTCATAAAAATGTTCATTATTTAATGATATTGCACTGATTCTTTTTAGTAACCATTATGTTTCCCAAAATTCATTGATGATTAAAACAATTAATAAAATCCCAAAATTTATAATACATAAACATTATTTGTCTCATTATCTTCATGTATGTCCGTACAATAAAACATAAATAAACGGTGGATTATTATAAATATTTTATGAATCATGTTGTAACATGTCGAGTTAAAAATAATTTTAGAGCATTAACCATATATGCATTTATACAGATCAGACTTTTGTAGATTTTTGTTTTCTCAGCTTATTCAGAACAAAGTATCACTATAAAATATCTATTTAAGTTTAATGAATAAATTATATTTTTTGTACAAATCTTCTGGCAGTTTATATTATAAGCTAATGGTCTTGAAAAGCGAATAATTTTTAATGATCTTAATTTTGTTGTATTTCATGTTAATAAAACTATTTCTTTTTTGAGTCAAAAGCTAAGTTAGAAACGACTAAATATTTATTGTATATAGACCATCGTATTCATATAAATCTAATCAACAAAATCATATGCAAACAGCTTATATAAGATTAAGACGTACCATTACTTTTTTCTTCGTATATTAAATTCATTTGCATTTAGAGTTTTATGTATATATATAAATATGAATTATATAAAATCATATTATATATATATATATATATAAAATATGATTTTATATGAATTTAACTGTAATTGAATACCATTATATATCACAGCCTCATAAGATGTATCATCTGTGATAAGAAAGTATAGTGGTAGCCCATAAAAGCCGTTGCCAAATCCATCTAGGTACCCTACATGGACCAAGACTAGCCATTGCCCTGGCTAAATGTCTAATCCAATCCCATATACCCCATGGAGCATGTCCACCATTGACGTAAAGAACATATGTAAAGCCATCTTTACATTTTCCATGAATGAAATAATAATATGGTAAAAAACTATGTAATCGAAAATGGCACCTTTGATAAAACAAAATAGCAGGCACGTTGCTAGAGAGGACATGTAAGAAGACTGCTTTCACTGAAGAACGTTCTGGAGCGGTAACATGTGCCAATAATTGCTCCAATAATAAAGATGCAATACCGTTTCTTCTATATGTACGACGTACTCCTAAACTAAGTATATATCCAACTAAAGAGTCCTTTCCTAGACTCGAACACAGAATCCCACGATCTTCTTCATTTAACTTGGCATATGGTTTAATCTCAGCGACAATAAGTCCTATAATTACTCCGCCATATACAGCAGCTAACGCATAAAATCTTGAAGAGCTTGTTATGTCTTCGTACCAGGAATTTGGATAATCTGTAAAAGTAGAGCTGTCGCATTCTTTTCTAACATATCCCAATACACGTATCAAAGTGTAAATTGAGATAACATTCGTCTCACCTATGGGAAACCAATCTTGACAAAGTGCACGAACTTCTTCTAAATCGTCAGGACAGAGAAAACGTAATTGAACCTCACCCAAAACGCAAAGTGGGACTGTTACAGAAGTCACGGGGGCTGTCGGGCTACCAACCGAATTTCTCGTTGAATTTTCATTCGTATAAGCCCGCTTATTTCCCGAGTCAACCTCGAGTTCACTTTTCTCGATTTCCGGCAAGATAAGGTACCGGTTAAAGGACACGGCCATTACGCCACAAATTCTCTGGCATCTTACAAGTCATTTGTACAGCGATATAAAATACGTCAGGTCGAATACAAACATCTGTTAATAAACATATCGCGATTCGCAGACATTTTGTTTTCATAGGTTTGTTTATGCCAGAAGAGAACGTAAACTCTCGTGACGCAATGCGAGTAGAATCGAAGGAGCAGGGTCGCCACTTCATCGCATTTGATACTTTTCCTGCCAATTAACTAAAAGTACCATTGCCGAACTTATATATTCTTCTTTTCAACTTCCTATCTTTTTATTTGAAAACAATGTCACGCTGCGAGGAATGAACAAAGCATGTTCACAAGGCTAAATATATTAGTACGAATGCCAAACGGGAACACTAATTCTATCAATTATACGAGTGACAAATAGACAGTACATATATATACATATTGTATATACATATCTATAGAGAGAGAGAGAGAAAGAGAGAGAGAGAGAGAGAGAGAGAAAGAAAGAGAGAGAGAAAGAGAGAAGAAAAGAAAGAGAGAGTCTCATATATTAAAAAATAGAAAAAGTTCTGAGTCAGCTGTTTGCTTTGTGGTTCGTTGTATGACCACTTGAGATTTTAATCTATTATGGCGGTAAATAAAAGTATCATTGTTCTTACGCCCAACGGTCGTCGACAAAATGTGGAAGTTACTCCAAATACAACTATTCTTCAGGTAAATAGTAAATTCAATTATATTTATTGAAATGTTTCATTAAATTTCTTCTCAAAGTGAATTTAAATTTATATTAGATTTTAACCAACAAATTTATATTAATTTATAGGTGCTGGAAGAAGTTTGTAAAAAACATGGATATGATGCAAACGATTATGATATTAAGTGAGTTACCATGTACAAAATTTATATTAGTTCATTTTCTTATTATTTTTAATGCACACTTTATTTTCCAGACACTTCAATAAGATATTAGATGTAAATTCCATATTGCGTTTCACTGGTTTATCTAATAATGCACGGGTGGAAATGGTACCTTGTAAAAAACCACGTAGTGCATCAAAAGTTACAGTAGGCATTCTATTTGAGAATGGTGAACGATTAATGGATGATTTCTTACCAGATGTCACTTTGGCACACGTTTTAATGACCATTTGTCCTAACGAAGACCGCAAAACTGCAGTAATAATATATATGCATCGTAAGGTAATCCATCTTACAAGATTTAATACCGATGTTTGAATCATATACAAATAGATTTTGTTCCTAGGTGCATGGTGAAGCTTTAGAAGAAACAACTTTGAAATCATTGGGCCTTACTAGTGGTAAAGCAATGTTACGAATGATGCATCGTGATTTGGAACAATTACAAACACAAGCACATGTATCTCAAACTTTTTTACCAAAGTCTTCAAAAAACTTGGATGGTAATGATGAAAATGATGTTTATATCAAATATGATAAACAAAAGATTTCTTCTGCATCTAAGGAAGGGAAAGCTTTAGATCCTATTACGTTGTTAAAAGAAGAAAGAAATAAAATGAGATCACAAGATTCGATTTATATAGGAAATATTACAACGATGGATAAAGATAAAGGGTCAGATAATAAAGACAGGGATAATGCTATAAATACAAGTACATATCGTAAAGAGCTATTAAATCACAATGATGTAAAAGATGAACCCAATGCAAATTTGCATTCAGATACAGAGGAAGAGATTAATATAGAGTTTGTAAGATATTGCTTTCATAATACTACAAATAATAATTTACATATTTAATGAGTATAATTGTTACATTATAGTTGGGAGAACGAAATGCGTTAGTATTCAATCAAGCTGAAGTACAAGCATTTCCTAAAAATGAATTACCAGATAGTTTTTTCAATTTAACGGTCGAAGATGCCAAGATACTCTTACGAGATGCTAAACGAAAGAGAGAAGAGTTAGAAGAAGCACCACTTTTAATTGAAGCTCAACGTAAACTTGAGCAAGATAAACGTATATTGGCACAATTGAATAAATATCGCAGGGTAGTGATTCGTGTTCAGTTTCCAAATCAATTGGTTCTCCAAGGTTGGTTTAAACCTGTTGAAACGGTGCAAGCAATTAAGGACTTTATTAAAAATTATTTAGAAGATCCAACTTGTGACTTTACTATTTGTAAGTTAAGATGCATTATTTAATCGTGACATATTTTTAAATTAGAAATATGTTAATCGAAGGTATATCATTTTACTTTATAATTTAACAGATACTGCTCCACCAAAACACATTTTAAGGTCAGAAGTACGATTAATAGATGAAAATCTTGTACCATGTGCTATTATATATTATTCTGGATCATCATCTTTAGCACCATCTGTAAAAGAAAAATTAATAGATCCTAGAATTGCCAATAAACAAGTAATAAAATCAAGGTAAAATATGACTTGTATGTTTGCTTTTATTATTCGAATATTTTTTTTTTAAATGATATTATAGTTATACAAAAATCTTTTATCTTTTGAAAAAACTACTAAATAAATTAACATTGCTTATTACTTTTACAGAATGATTGTAACACCTGAAGAAAATGTTAATACAGAGAAAAAAAAAAGTAAAACAATAGAAGATATCACAGCTATTCCAGGACCCAGTGGTTGCTAACTATTAAAAAAAAAAAGAATAAATAAATAAACAATAATTACCTTAAAGAACAAATATGATGTAATCTAATAAATAAATTTGTATTTAACAAAAATATGAAAAATTTTTATAAAGTAAGATAGGAATTCTTTATTAAGTATTTTTACAGATCTATATTTTTATATCATTTAAAGACCTGTATGATTAGTAAAAACTAAAATATGCAGATATCTGTATAACAATGATATCATTATTACTACTGATTATTTACAAAAGTGAAAATGGATTTTTTATAGCCAAATGATTAAATATATAACAAAAAGATACAAATATTTTTGTGCCAAATTTGATAAGTACTAAAGAAATGTATTTATGTGTGTTATTTATTTGTATGTAGTTGTATATGATATATGATTTATTATGATATGGAATGTGCAAATTAAACAATTAACTTCTTGCACTTCCATGGTCCATCAAATAAATTGTAGAAGTAACAATTCATAGTTTTTATAATTTACCTAGTGGACAGCTCATTTTATGAATTACAAACATTAATTATTATTTATAATCTTTTATATGGATCAAGTGTGCATGCGTTTATTTTTATATATTATTTGAATT